TAGGGACAATATTTGAAAAAGGTCTTACTTCTTTTTGATAAATTTTTCACGAGTGGGAGCAGATTTGCTGTTTCACCTGTTTTCCCTACAATCCTTCTGTGATTTCCTTTTAGGCCTTTACGATAGCGTTCAAGTTTCAGTATTTACAAGGCCATGATCTGGCTTCTGCCTTTTCTTTTATACTCTTTTTCCTGGTCTTTAAAACTTTCAAATCTTTGTTAGTCGAATTCAACGTCTTAAATTGTGAATGCTTCCCTTCCCCCTAAACCTTCACCCCTACAACATTCTTACTCCCATTTCTAACTTTTATTCATACTTTAGGTTTTTTTTTTTTTAAAGATTTATTTATTTATGCATACAGAGCTGGGGTACAGGCCAGAGGTGTAGGGGAGGTAAGAGGATTCACCTGAGACAGAGTAGGGAGCAGAACAGGCCAACTGACAAGTACACTGCTGAGGGAGCAGTGCACAGGTCTAGAGAGGTCTGCCTTGTCAGGTGGATCACGTTGGAGTGGGGATCAAACTCATGCTGAAGTGACTTTCGCTTCTCAATGCTGTGCTTTAACCCGCTGCGCGACCAGGGAGGGCCCCCATACTTTAGTTTTTAACTTAAACATTTTGGGGGAATTTTAAGGGGAGAGAGGTGACCTTTTCTTACTGTGTATTTAGTACTTCCATGGCACACTGAATTTTATTGCATTATCCTTCATTACCCTTTTATTGCAGTTATTAAATCTTGATCTTTCCATAATTTCTAAGCTCTGAGAGTGCAGTTCTACTTTCTTGCTGTATCTGGTACCTGACCCTTGGCAGGTGCTTTCAAAATATTTGGTGAAATAACAGATGGATGACAAAATGAATGACAAAAATGAAACAAAGGGAGATAAATTAGAAGAAATAGTGGAAGCCTGGACAAAAACATTTGTAGTAAATAAAGTAAGGGGACAGATGAGAGATTTCAGGGAAAGAATGAATAGATTCTGATATTTGATTGTATTTGAAACAAGGAGGAAGAGAAGTTGATGCTGGAGCCTCTGGGGGATGGTAATTCTGTAAATTCAGCTTACTTGGGCAGATATTTAATACCAGATATTGTATACCACCGGTATTGTATACCAGAATTAGAGGTTAGTGGGGAGGGAATGGAGATGATAAGTTGCATTTTGACTGCACTGAAAGGGAGATATTTGGGAGATGTTTGCAGAAGGCAGTTAGAAATGAGCTTTTGGTGTTTTAAGAGAGGTGTGAATTATTTTTAGTATTTGTGTGTCCAGTGCATTTTTGCTCTGCACAAGAGTGGGTGAAATCACTGTGAGCTCTGTCAGTGCTCTAGAAAGTAAGCTTCATGAGAGCTGGTGCCCCGTTAGACCTGTTTGTTCTGTGCTGTGGTGCCTTTGCTGCCTACCCTGTGGTAGACTTTCAAAAACAATTATTGGATGAAAGACTGTGTGTTAAACTATAACGCTTGAGACTTATTGAAAAAAAATATATAATCCCTATCACCATTCATGATTTCCCCTTTGTATCTGCAGAGTAAATTGAAAAATCTCAGTGGTTAAAGAGAATTCTTTATTTTTTAAACTCTTAGATTTTTCCATAGTTTTTGTAACAGATTTATTGGATATGACTCAATTTACCCCTTTAAATGTACAATTCAGAGATTTTTTGCATATTCACAGAGCTCTGAAACTGCCATTTCTGTCTAATTCCATTACATTTTTGTCATTCCATAAAAAAGCTCAATGTCCATCAGCAGTCATTCTCCTTTCTGCCTTCCTTATGTCTCTAATCCTGGGCATTTCATATAAGTGGAGTCATGCAATAGCTGGCATTTGGTGTGTGACTTCTACTAGCACAATATTCTCAAGTTTTATCCATGTTATGGCATATCATTCCTTTTGTTGTTACATAATATTCTGTTGTGTAAATATACCATATTTAATTTATCCATTCAACTGATGGACATCTGGGATGTTACTACTTCAGTTTACAAAGAATAATGCTGCTATGAATATTCAAGTACAAGTTTTGTGTATAAATTTTGGACATTTGTTTTCAATTATCTTGGGTATATACTATGGCTAGAAATTTGGGGTCCTATAGAAACTCTCTTTAAGTTTTTCAGGAACTGCTTTTAGAAATAGCTAAGCCATTTTACTTTCCCACTAGCAATATATAAGGATTTCAATTTCTATACATTTTCGTAGTCCTTGTTATTTTGGTTAAAACTATCCCAGTGGCTGTGAAAAGCTATTCATTGTGTCTTAGATTTGTATTCCTCCAGTAACCAATGATGTTGAGCATTTTTTCATATGCATACTGACCATTTGAAGTTTTTTCTTTGAAGAAATGTCTGTTCAAGACCCATAGTCATTTAATTGCATTGCTTGTACTTTTTGATTTGTTTTTTTTGTTTTGTACTTTTTTAACATTTGTTTTTAATTCATCTAGATACTTATGGATATGGAATATGATGGCACATTTTTTTCTCCCATTCTTGTGGTTTATTGATGATATCCTTTGAAGCAGAAATGTTTTTATTTATTTTAATTATATTTTTAATTTTTTTACATCATTCTTCATTTTGTCCATTTTTTCATCTCAGTTGTAATCCCCATGGGCTTCCCACCCCCAGTTCACCCATGTGCCATCACCATAGGAAGCAGTAATGTTTTTTACTTAGATGGAGTATTTGTCCTTTGCTTGCTTGTGCTTTTAGTGAATATTTAAGAAACCTTTGCTTAACTTGAGCTTCAAGAAGATATTCTTATAGGAGTTTTGTACTTTTAGCTCTTACATTTAAGTCAGTGATTCATTTTAGTTTTTATACATGCTGTAAAATAGGAGTCCTACTTCATTCTTTCCTACATGGAGATCCAGTTGTTCAAGCATCATTAACTTAAAAGACTGTTTGAATTTTTTCTTGGCACACTACTGAATGTAAACTAGCTGTAAATGTATGGGTTTGTTTTGGATTCTTAGTTCTATTATCAATGTCCATGTGGCTTTTAGTGGTACTTGTGACTGTCACTATATGGCTCGCAGTTGGTTAACTTGTCCTAGTTTTCTCATCTTTAAAACTTATAATATGTAGTGAAGATGTCATAGAATTTTTTTTAAAGATGATTTATGTATACAGAACTGGGGTACAGGCCCGAGGTATAGGGGAGGTGAGAGGATTCACCAGAGACAGAGTGGGGAGCAGAACAGGCCAACTGACAAGTACACTGCTGAGGGGAGCAGCAGGTGGGTCAGGAGAGGTCTGCCACACCATGTGGGTCTCTTCCCGGGTGGGGATTGAACTCAGGCTGAAGTGGTTTTAGCTTCTTAGTGCTGTGCTTTAACCTACTGGGTCACCAGGGAGGGCCCCGTCATAGAATTTTTGTGAGGATAAAGAAGTATTAATATGTAGGGAAAGTTTAGAGCAGTACCTGGCTTGTAGAAATCATTCAGTATGTGTTAATTAGTCTTTCATTACCACTACCAGCACTGTTGTGGTCATTAACCCTCATCACCATAAAAAACATGTTAGCCTCTAA